TCTTACCAAGAACTTTAATTTCGACCGGCTTGCAACCATTGAGCTCAGTCATACCCTGAATCTCAGTAAACGTAACATAATCTCCACTCTCGAAGCCATGACGAGCTTCATCCAGACATGTCACGACCCCTGCATTGTCCTGGGGAAACCAAAATGTGCAACTTTTCAGGCACAGCTGCCATGAAGCTTTAATTTACTCCTAAAAAGCAGGTAGTAGTTAAAAAAAAAAAAGATCAGCATTGTCAGGGGGATAAAAGAACCAAAACTAACCTTTGTGATCATGGAAATCATAGCACTTAATGGCTGCTCTCCATTGGTGTCATAGACAATCATCTCTTCTCCAAAGTCACAGAAAAGTTGACTACAAAAGAGAAATTAGAGCACAAAAACATTAGACGCTGACGGTGAACACATGTGAACACTAAACAGAGTCTTAATCTTACCCAAACAGACCACGAGTGTCTGCAACAATCAGCTTGATCCCCTTGCTGTGGCAGAACTCTCCTAGAGTCTGCTGCTCATCCAGAGTTGAGTTAGTCAGCACTACCGCCTAGATTTCAAAATAAGACAAAATTAAAAACTCTTTCCGAAATGGTAAAATGACTAGGGAGTTTTCTTATGCTAAATTTATACCTGGAACTTGGTCAAGTAGTCTTCAGTCAGTGGTCCAGTGTAACCAGTCACAGGAACATAGCTGTTCAGTTCAGCCAGGCGGGCCTGACTCACTTCTGCCCTGTTCTTGCCCAGGTCCTCCTCCCGAAGGTAAAACTAGCCATACAGAAATACTGATGCTGTCATTAAGCAATAACTGCCAATACTATAGCCAAACATGACATTAAGGAATATTCTAGTGAATAACATTGACTCAGTGTGCTTAGCCATATTCTTCTGTGGGTCCGCCTTTTCTTTTGAAAGGACTTCAGAATGTGTCAAAGAGGATAAAAACGACAGACTACCACTTAAACGGCTTGACTGATCACAGTATACTCTCCCTGCATTCTCACGCTTAAGTCCATAACAATAAAATGGTTATCAAGAGCAGATGAGTTTTATTTGTAGTTATGCTGTTATATTTATGCAGTGATTAGATTTGCTGAGAAGAGAAGAAATCCCACCCAACTCAGTTTGGAAGTGGACTAACATTATATTGTTAAGTGGTCTTGGCTGGTTCATTTGCCCTAAACCAGTTTGGACTGTCAGCCCAGAGAAACCCAAGTTTATTTAAGGTAAAATGAAATATAGACTAAATGTAAAATTTGGTCTCAAAACGTCAAACCATTATTTGAGCTTCTAAAGCACATCAACAATAAGAGCTTTCTTAAACTACAGGTTAACCATTTCTTTTTCCATATTTCTGTTATTGGGACCGAATCACATAATTGAAAACACAAATGTAAAATGCAAATGCAATACACTTAAGCTGCCCTGTAAATAAATTAGGGCTGTGTCTTATAATATAAGCCACAACACCAGTATATCTTTTTAAATGAAAAAAATGTCATATCGCAACATCATTCGTATAAAAATGACCACGTTCCCAAGCGAGTCTTAAAATCTGTGTCTAACCACGATGACACTTCTGTAGCAACAACACCAGAAAAATGCCTCAAGTTACCACCCAAGGAATCTGTTCATACATGTTTGCAGTTTGATGAGATATAACAGGATTTAACAGACAAATAAAAGCAATCTACTCTGCTGAAATTATGTCCTTTAATAGACTGGCTGTACTACGATTATGAACCTGGGAAGAGGCCACCCACTGGTAAATCTGGGTCAGCTCATGGTTAGCAAGGGTGGGGGTGGCTTTAGTACCCTTTCTGGATGTTAGCAATACACAACAACACACAACTCAATAGATAAAGCCACAGTGCACTTTGGAATCGTGCTCAGACAACAGGTGAGTCCACAAACTGCAATTCCCTTGTGTAACTTAATCGGGAAAAATAAACTACTGCAAAAATTTTAAATTAAAACATCTGTGCTTTCACACACCTGGGAAGAGAGGTCTCTCCATTCTGCAACTCCTTCGTCATGTATAGTGACACTTCTAACTCCTCCCAGGATCACGTTCTTGGCAATCTCAACTCCAAGGCCTCTCATACCAGAGATGAGGACATTGGAGTTCTGCATGCGCTTCATAGCTTCATGGCCCAGCACGTAACTAAATAATGACAAAGAACCATTGGCAACATTATGTATTGGTAGATGTCAAGCCCAATAACGATGAAGTCCAACATCACAAAAAGGAAAAAAGAAGAAGCTTACAGCTGTCTTGAGTACAGGCCTTCATCGATCTCAGCATCATTGCCATTCTTAGCCATGCCCTGGGAAAACAACAGGAAGTGCAATCAGTTTACGTTACAAGTTCTACTCACTCTATAGAGTAAAGGTGTTTGCACTCACGTTGGCAGGTGTGTGGGACAGATCAGTTCTGACAGAGTTAGAGGAGGAGCAGTGGGATCCCGTCTTCGTCTCTGTTCCTGACAAGCGACGCTTCTTGGACAGCGGCGAGCTGGACATCTGTGCATTAACCACCATCATAAATTAAGTTGTCATTCAAGCACACGAATGTTACCAGTTAACAACTGCCCTATAACATTTTTGGTAGTTTGTAATAAATCCAGAATAAAAGAAAGACATTTTACATCATTAAGAAAAAGAGAAAGGCAGCACACTGTCAACAAGCTTGGGTTTCCTGAATGTTCTCAGAAGCCAACTCATTCCAATTCATATAAACTTTAGTAATTTTATAATTCATTGCTATGGTTCCATTATAATAAGTAGCTAAACTAAAGGCTAACCAGTCCCCCTCATTTGAAGAGAGGATTTTTAGCCTAGAGAGCAGCTGGGCTGGCTTCAGGCCAAACACAAATCTGCTAGAAAACGAACTGAGGCTGGAAGAGACATGAATAGCATTACGGTTCTTTCATACACACAGAAAGCACAGGTTTGTTTAGATACTTCTATTGTTTTTTTCCTGGTATTTATCGACACCCAACATGTTTCACGGAAAAGAGCTGAATCATTAAAAGTTCACTGCGGTAAACTGAGCAACACCACACAATGGCTGGCAGGTGCGGACACAAGGACCATACTGTGCTGCAACTAAGTTGTAGATGGCGACGTTACAAGAAAGCTCTAAACGGCAACATTTAATAGCAACGCATTTACTTATGTATTTAGATTTCTGATTAACGCAGTAGTCGCGGTAAATCTCTGCACTCGGAGGGCCGCAGTGGTTTTCAAACACATTCTAGGTGCACAGAAAAAAAAAAAAAGGTCGGGCACAATTTCCGCATCCAATGCGGCGCCAACTTCCGTGCGTTTCCCAAGGCACACGTATCAGTTTATAACCCTCTCTACGACTTTAAATTATGACGAGGCCTGGGCAAATTTTCATACGACTGCAACCAGCCTAAAATAGCCTTCATATCACCGTTAGCTGAACGGTCGCGCTTGACAAAACCGAAAATGAAGGCGTCCGGCATGATACAGCAAAGCCGCCCGGCTGTTACTGTAGTTTGCCAATCCTACTAGAAAACGTTAGCGGGTAGCAGTCGATTTAAAGATCTCAACGTGTGGAAAAATATTAATCAACTGTCAGATAACAGCACCAATAGAAAACTAAGTAGGTTCCGCGCAACTAATCGGTTAAGTGATTTGGCAAGTGGACAGAGTCTAAACATTAATAACTTAGAGGGAAGAAAACACCAGCTTGTCAGCTTATCCATTAGCAGCTCGGCCTAGGCCTGCATTACCCTCAGTGCGGAACACAATTTTACAAGCTAGCAGCTGTGGCTACACTCCAACCGACCTCGCACTGGAGACGGATTTGACAGTAGTCTGCCACAGCTCCTATATGGATATGGCTAAATGTCTAAGCGTCTAACAAAAAGACAATTTAACTTTGGTCACTTAACATAAACACCGCGAATTCAAGCCAAGCCACTACACTCGTGCTCCATTGATTTCCCTTTCCTTACCAATAATCCTTCTCGGTCCCTTCCCAGTGCGAACCCGCTCCTCTCCTGCTGTGTGTAGCTGTCAGTAAAAACGCTGATTGTATATTCGACGATTTGTACAGAGAAAAGAAACGCGATGCGGGATTGGGGTGGTCTGCACTATATTGTCGAGTCACTATGTCGTTGTGCCGATAGTCTCTCCTATGTAATTGCGCTGCTGGCTTTGCGACTGCAGACAGGAACAAAACCAAAATGGCAGATGGGGAGAAAGGGGCGGAGGAGCTGTGACGCAGGGGCTGAAATATTCAACAGGAAAGGGTGGCTGCAAGCACGCTGCTCATCCAGGTCCTCGGCTCATTGGCTCTTCAAGCCCAAGCTAAAGCGCGTTGATCCCGCCCTCGCTACGAGAGGATGCATGCCAAGTATCTTACTGTACAATGAACAGTAGGATCTCCAATAATCTAGCGAAAAAAACATCACTTAATGAGAAAAATAATTGCGGGTATGTCTGAGACCATTGCATGAAAGGATTCCCCCTTAACCGAGCTGAATGTAACTCATCAGTAACAACACCTTTGTTTCAGAGGCAGATTAGCAAGGACCAGTCATCTTCATGTGAACTCCATAAACAAAGCTGAACATCAAACTTGCAACAATGCACCATCAGAAAGAACACATTTCACAGTTAAACCCCATTAGATATCCTCTCACTGGAGCACTATTTGCTACATTCCACTTAAAACACCGATTGTTTTGACTATTTTATGAATTCAGCAATTATCATCACTACTCAAGTCGGATAGTGTATGTATGTATTAGCTAGTGATGCTGAGCGTCTGGGCCTTTTAGTCACACTGAGGTTAGGGGTGAGCATTCCTTGCAGAAGAGTATTGGGGGAGGGGGTGCCTAGTAAATGACAAAGGCCCAGGAAAAAAAAAAAAAGAGTGGGCCGCATATAGTCGGGTACACATGTCGAGGTGATCCCCTATTTTCATCTTCCAACTAGAAAATGCTTTGAACTGAAGCATACGAATATCAATGATGCCCGAATAATAGGCTGCTTAACTTGACAAGCTAAACAGAGAGACTAGCCAGTGTTGGGTTACTGTGATAACGCCGATAAACGTGCTATCGAAACGGGAACCCTACATATACAAACGGATATACGAGGAAAAAAATAGTGCCAGCATGTACGCTCGTGATGCCAGTTAGTTCGTGTCTGTCTTTCAACGTAGTATCCATCAAATGTTTGAAGCAACTAGCCTTCTAGCTACCATTAACGTTATTTATCGCCTAAAATTAATTAAAACAGCAACCCCGTGCACATAAAAACGTGCAAATGCTAATTTGCCGTTAACAGTTACGTGTCAGTGCCTTGTTAGCTACCGTTAGCGGAGCAAGGAGCTTAAATGGTTCGCTCAGCCGTCTGCAACTAACATTAACGACTACCGATAACGCACATCAAAAGACTGCGTAGTTGTTAGCTTGTGTGCGGCTAGCTTTCGAGCTATCTAGCCACCCAGCGACTTTTTCCCCTTCTTGTGCCGCTATGTTAGCTAACTAGCTAACATTAGCAAACTAGCTGAGGCTAACATAACCAGGACGAGAGCTTACACAAGTGTGCAGAACTTACCACATCCGATATTTACTCGGCCTGATCTGGAGTATTAAAAATCGGCTTCTGCTTAAGCAAAGAAAAACAACAACCAAGGTGACAATTCAACACCGCCACTGACTGCAAAGTGAAAAGTGTGTCACGGTGGCGGGCTCTGTGTGAGTTTTTTCCGCTGGACGGCTGCCTGTCCGGCTGTTCCCAAACCGTTTCCCCTCACTCTATTTCAGTTGAAAGCAAAGCAAAGCAGCAACATGTGCACGTTACAGGCACAACCATCATTCTGGGTCTTGGGGTTAATTGAAAATGAATATGATTGGTTTGTGTCTGCTCTGTCTTTTAATTAATCGTTAACGCTCACACATCCCATCTAGAAGATAAAGCGTACTGAATATTACACTGCTTTGTGGTTTAGTTGTATATTTAGAAACAAGAATACTTTTGTCACCCCCGTACTGTTACAAGCATGGACTAAACCGAAGTTCACGCAGTGCCTTATGGGACTTGTAGGCATATAGGATAACGCCTGTCAGAACTCTGCCTTTTGGATAAATGTTGATTAAGCACGTAAACAAAACAAAACTCGGCTGTAATTCTAAAATGTTTTTTTTTTTTGAAGAGTGATCAAATGATTTTAAACAACTCAATATATATGCATGTATTTACGGACTTACTTTTATTGAAAGACTTGCAAACAGTGCACATTTTACATAGGGACAGAATAGTGGAGATCTAGACTTGTTCAGGAGAAAAGCACAGAATCTGGTATTACATACACCCAATAGCAGAACAAAAGTCAGAACAGTTTTATGATGAAAAGGATAAAATAGGCAGGACTGTCCAGTTAAAGGTACCAAATGAATGTGCTGACAAAACTGGAGCAAATGAAAACAAACTATCTGGAAATGTTTGGGGAAAAAGGAGAGAAAATGTAAGTGTTACTGTGTTATTGCAAAGCCTTTATACAGTATATTCCAGCTCTCTGACAGATGTGGAACAACTCATAAGTCTAAGTGACAGTTTAAGTTTAAATATACCGTTTAATAAAACAAATTATAATTTCTTGCAACCAGGGGAATGGCTTCATCAGATCAGTTTCACATATTTCTGTACAACTTTGTGACACCAACCATCACAACAGAATAACTAGCCACATAAATACATAGTAACTGAAAAAAAAAATCATGGGACAATCTGCTTTGAACAAAAAGAAAAAAAAAAAGTAAATGTCACTTTGGATATGAGGAGGTTCACACCATGGAAGAAAAATATGACTTAGGAACCTAGTTTGATTCTGTTTATTTACAGTTTTTAGGGGATAATACTTTATTTAGAGCTTTTCTTTCACTGTTAGTTGAGGATTTTGCCATTCTTATTTGTGCAGCTTCATAATTTGCAAATTTGTTGAGTGCTTGGATTTCCATATGAGGTGGTTGTGTGGTAAACATTTAGGCACACAATCTGGATTTAGCATAACAAACCTTTAAGATCTTGATCTGTGAAGCTGTCATATAGAGATATATTGTACTCTAATCCCTCTAGACTCCAGTGACGAAAGTGTTGAATGTCAGAGGGGGGTAGGGTCATCTGGTATATGCAGCCAAACCAAACAACAGTGTAATAACTTCTCTTTTTGCGCACAATTAGGCAGTCCTTCTGGGTGAGACAGTCATTAAATCCTTAAGTTTAACTATGAATACAGTGTTCCAGGTATTTTTGCCTTTGTGTATTGCATCATGCACACCTGCCTCATAGTCCCCTGCCTATCCCAGGTCTTGGTGACTGGCTGGAATGAGCAGGAGCCGCCTGTCCGTCTCTGTCTTCCTGCTCTCCCAGCGCCTGGGGCGAGGCTTCTGTGGGTGGGGATGGTGGGGGATAGGCAGGAGGAGGAATGCTAATGTGAGGAAGAGATGGCAGCACAGGTCTGGGAGAGGTAGGAAGTGGTGGTGGGGTGCCGGTGGTTGCAGATGTGGACCGCTGTGAGGGGCGTGCACGAGAGGTGGCGGGAGAGGCGTGTGTGCTCCGAGCTCGAGGTTGCTCAGCAGGACAGTCACTGATTTGCTCTAGGAGCGATGGCATGTCTCCCTCGATCTTCTCCAGCACTGCAGCCATTTGCTTTTCTATCTGCTCGATCACACTGTCCATTTGCCAATCGCTTGAAGTGCTGCTCCCCCCACTGTGCTGTAGCCCAGTCCCATACCTCCCTACACCTCCTCCACTCGTATACAGGGAGCTGTATGGGCTCCCATAGCTCCCAGCCATCCCCATCCCCATAGCCCCAACCTCTGGATTGTATGGTGTGGCATGACGGCCCAAACTAGCAGAGCTTCCAACTGCATAGCAAGCCTGTCCCGGTGTAGCACCTGCTCTTGGTAAACTAAACTCAGCGCTGTATCTATCTGTTCTTCTGGCATTCCTGTCCTGCCTCTCTACTGGACTCTCATCGCCCCTGAGCCTAACTTCTAGTCCTCCATCCACCCCTGTACCTGGCCCCACTGCTGGAGTAACTGGCGCCACCACAGACTTCTCTGCCACCGCTTCAGGTACTTGTGTCTGACACCAACTTCCGTCAGTCTCATCTTTTTGCTCGCTTTGTGTGACTGGTCTCTTCAGCGGTGAGGCTGATGCTGCAGCGGATGCTGTGTGTGAAGGTGCATGAAGTGTTGCAGCCATTTTACGTTTGCTGCTGGGATCGGGGGAGGACGATATGTGTTTTTTGTCACGATCAATGCCCGGAGTGCTGTCTAATAGCTTTGAGGCCTCAGGGCTCACCGCAGGCGTCTGTTTGAATTCTGGAACAACTTTATTTTGGCCCAGATTTGCAGCCATTTTCCTGGTTACGTCACCTGCACCTTTCTTTGCACCAACCTTGTCAGGCTGTTCCTGGGCACAGTTGGGGACTGCATTTGGTTGACAGGAAAGGTCCTCTACACCTGAAGGCGAAGTTCCTACAGATGGGCCTATATGCATCTTTACCTCCTCTTGTTTTTCTCCAGCCTTAACTGTCTCTTTACTCGGCTCCATACCAGAGGGCATACTCTCAATAGTAACTTCTAAAGACACGCTACTTGATGTTACCCCACCATCACTCATCCCTTTCTCTCCCTCATCACTTGTTCCCTGCGAAGCACCCCCTTCACCATCCCCTGCCTCCTCACTGCCCTGAACCTCAGCAGAGCTATCAATCAATGCTTCTGAATTCTTCAGGCGTTGCATGAAGGTGGTGACACGGATCGCTTTCTGCGAAACAGACAGAAGTAGAAGAAAAACACGAGAAGGATGGTTAGGATGAAAAGAATTCGATTTGCAGCACATTTAATTTTCGTTAAAATATACTTCCTCTTCCCCCCCTGCTGATAAAAAAATACTTTGATAACATAGTTATGGAAAAGCTTAAAAAATAAGCTTCAAGTACAAGCATTTGAGAAAAAAGCCTGTCAACACACCATGATTTTTGCAACTTCGTACTAATAGCTGAGATATGATTTGTGTGACATGAAGGAAGATTAGTGCCGGTTGTTTACTTCCAGACGGCTATGACATATTGTGCCCTGGTTTAAATCAATCTCAAGTCTCACCCTCCCCAAGAAACTCCTTGAGTGCTTGCTGACTGGAAAAAGTAATCAAGCAAATGCGTATAAATCCAGTTCTTATAAATGTTACATGATCTGATTCCTTCTGCTCTACAAACACTGAAGGAGTCAGGGGGATGTGTGAGCTTAATAACTGCTAATAAACCAGGGAAACGAATTCCCTTGAATTCTCTGGAAGTGAAAAGCCACTAGGACACAAAAATGCTACTGAGAACAACATCTTTTAACTGAGATTTTTTTGTATTGCTTCAAAAATGATTTAAATGTAACAACAGTATGGGACAATGGGCCAGGATTCACGTAAGAGGAATGCCAGAGGGCCTTACAGTAGAAATCACGGCAGTTCATAAGTTCACAGTGGCTAAGAGCCCTTATGTCCTTTCCATTTAACCCTCTCCTTATCTACACTAATTTAAATACTACAAAAGTAGTGAAGAAAAAAACCTTGCTTCTCTGCTGCTTGTCTCACATTTATAGATCTGGATTCATAAACCAGTGCAGATGAGGAGAAGGAAAGGAGTAGAGCAGGCCACTTTGAACATCTGGGTGTAATCCAATGACAAAAGTGGGGCAGAGTGGATGGATCTCTTCTGGGACAGGCAGAGTGACAGTGGGCAGGAACAGAGCTTGGGAAGACTTTCAACGGCCCCTGACGTGATCAATACATCTCAAAGCTGACTTGGGTTTAACATTTAATATAACATTTTTTCCAAACTGATTTTTATAGAGATAGCTTCTGATAAAAACCTCTTTTTAATTTAAAAGCACATTTGGCTATCATGAGTCATTCTGGACTAAATGTGAGCTTCTCCCCATGCTCTGCCCTTCCACTGTCCTTCAGAATGAAAAACAATACCTTTAATTCCTGGGAACCACATGGAGAAAGAGAGAAGAGGATTGTTGCTGTTACTTAAGCTGTTAGGTTAGCATTGCCATTTTCCTTCTTTGTCTTCACCAGTCTCATCCCTGGATCGCCTTATCAGTTCCACCATGTCATTCACAGATTTTAAACATACCTCTGCTGAGTTGTGTTAGGAGCTAAAAGCACATTAACACCCTGGTCTTCACCTGGTTTCTCCTCCAATATGCCTCAGCTGCTATTATTTCCAACTTCATGTAATCTCACATTTACAGAGCAGGAGTGAATACATACCCGCCATTTGGCCTTTGCAAAGTTCTTTTCAAACTGGGCGCACACGCCGTCCTTCAGGTTCTTTTCTGATGCACCGTTCCCTGCAATCCTGAGACACAACATACAAGTAAATGTAGCTGTGTGCCACGATTTCTGTGGCTATTGTCAGCATGTACACATGATTACCACTCATGGAAAAGCGCATCTTGCGCTGTGATTCTCAGCATCTGGTCCACTTCCATCAGGCGACAGACAAGCTCCTTAGCTGAAAGAGAGCGAGCAAGGAAAAGGCAAACGAGGCATCTTAAGAAATCATATATGCAGTCTTTAAAAAGCAAAAACATTAAAACATTCGGGGCTGTTTTCAGTTTTGCTCTGCAAGATATTCCTGACAATGGCAATTTTGATAAAAATGACAAAGTGCCACAAAATGTTTTACCTACTGATGCTCTAAATTAAGTTTACTGATAAACTGTCTATTAAGAAAGAAAGTGAAGTATCCACTGCCACCATGTGGTGGAGTTGTATACCTGCAGGTGAAATGTCGTCCCAGTAAGGAGAATCAAACTCAAAATCCCCAGCAACAATCCGGCAGAAAATGATGCGATTATGCAGATC